ATAATAGTAATAATAAATTAATGACACTGGTATAAATGTGCTCTGCCTACAACCATTATGGTTAAATTATTCTAATTACAGCACTAGGTAGGTTACATCTGTGATCTCTGGCTTATTGTATTAAGACATATTATGCAGCAAATCTTTGCATAATTCAAGAAATTATATGTTGAAAAACACAAAAAGTTAATATCTGTACTGTAGACTGCATCTACTTTACGGCCATTAAATCTACACTGAAACAAAAGGAAAATAGCAAAACCTCTGGACGGCGTTACAGGTCACTGTGCACCAAGACAACCAGGCACAGGGACAGTTTGTTCCCCCAGGCTGTAACTCTGATGAACACTTCACCAATGACCATATGATTGGACAATAAACCTTAATGTAATACCTGTATATATACACTGTACAGATTATACAGACTCCTACAGGTCTCTAGTTCTCCATTTTAAGTACTCTATTTTTATCCCTATTTATCTCATTTCAAAGAACATTCCTTTGTTGTCTGCATTGTTACTGTCTGTTCATACTGCTTATTCTGCATTGTTTGCTCTTTCTGTTGCTTGTTAATACTGCTTACTTTGTTATATTACACAGGCTTATGCTGGTTTACTGTTTGCACATTGAGAGCCGGTGTACCAGAGCCAAATTCCTCGTGTGTCAACACACCTGGCTAATAAAGTTGATTCCGATTCTCTTCTCCCTTCTCTTTAAGGTCACCAAGCCGCAACATTGTGCACCACAAAAATGTCCCACACCTGATTAGCAGTGAACCTGACACAGCCCAGTTACTCTACTGAGTTTCAGCAGGTTCAACTTACATCCTGCTCTCATTTATGTCATATACTGTCAAAACATTACACTGATGACACACTAACAAGTAAACACATCAAAGAGAGAGCCTTCTCCTTAAAATAGGCAATGGGGCTGGTTGTGTTAGCTGAACACACTGTGTGCTGCTGTTGTTGGGTAGAAAAACAGGAGAGATGAGCAGCCTGTCAGTGCAGAAAGCAACAGTTCAATGGTCATTTTAACCTGCAAAGTAAAGAGAGCTGTGGACAGACAAGATCAAATATCAGTAGCATGGAAGTACTTTGCCTAAAGTACTCTGAGGATGAAATAGGTCCTGGGCAAGTCAAAGTCCAACATGAAACTGACGCGTTAATGGCATATATTACCAATAACTCTAGAGCTAACACAGAGGAAAAAACCCAAACTGAAGCTTTCCATTCCAATAAAGGATGTTGTTGTTCCTAATTAGCATAGGTTACGCCCTGCCAATGCCCAGAAAAAAGCATGAGACTGCATAGCCGTGTGCAGACAGGACTGAAAACAGGAGTTGAGAAAGCCAGCAATGCTACAGTGACAATCTAAAGATGGTGGAGCAACAAACTGCAAAAACTTATGAAGTGGAGAACAGCGAATGAGCTGCCATATTTAGTAGTGGCAGTAGAGGATATAAAATAAAACAAAAAAAGATGCATGGGATGCTTTTACCCATTGAGTAAACACCATACAAGGAGAAGAGAGCACAACTGATGAATTAAAAAGTTGGTTTGATCTAAAATCTCAGGCAACAAAAACACAGAAGAGACATGCTGACCAGCGGAGAACGACAGGCTGCCTTAGAGATATCTGAGCTGGACCAGAGCACTGGGCCAGACATGGCTCTCTCAGGTGTGCCATCAGCTGAGTGTACCTTCCTGCGTGCACCCAGGGCGACAGGATGCAAGTTGAACCTGCTGAAACTCAGTAGATTAACTGGGCTGTGTCAGGTTCACTGCTAATCAGATGTGGGACATTTTTGTGATGCACAATGTTGCAGTTTGGTGACTTTAAAGAGAAGGGAGAAGAGGTTTTGCTATTTTCCTGCTATTTTCCTTATGTTTCAGTATAAATGTAATGGCTTTAAAGTAGATGCAGTCTACAGTACAGATATTAACTTTTTGTGCGTTTTTCAACATATCATTTCTTGAATTATGCAAAGATTTGCTGCATAATACGTGTCCTGAGTCTGACCTCAGATGCAGTGCTGGACAACCAAATCTTACACACTGGTCAAAATATCCAAGAGACACTTAAAGAAATCAACAGAAATTACAAATAAAGACGTGCATTTAAACATGTTGGGTTTTTAAGTAATGTGTTTCTAATTCTAAGTTGCAAAATAATCACAACTTAAATTTTAAAACATTTGGAAAATAACAGGAATAATATTAAACAAAATACTAATAAGCAATGATATCAAAACTGTTATTGTAACTTAAGTCTTATAACTGCAGAACTGAAGAAAACTAAATAACTGGTTATTTCACACAAAAACATCAGTGCTCAAATGTGCACAAGTGTGCTCCTGAGTGTGTGTAGATTCTGTTCTTACCTAAGAACAAACCCCAAATAAGAAAACATTGGTGAATGTCAGTATCTCATGAAAATGGATGGGCATTTCACACTGTGGGACTTGTATGGATTTTTGTCCATTTTTTGTAATTTACTGTACCGGTACCTATTAATGCATTCCATTTTCTATTGGCAGGTCATACAGCTCCTGGGATTCCTCTTCTATCCTGATAAATACTGATATTTGCTGCTATGAAGAAATGATCATGACTAATTTCCCATACTGGGACTGGATGTTGCCACTGATCTCCCTATTAAAGTTTGATTAACAAAGTCCAGAACTGAGGATTGTGATTTCATTTGAATCATGATGATTCATTTACATGAGATAAATACCTGGTTTGTTCTTCGTAGTTTTGGGAACTTAAACTCGTTATATATTCATCAAATGAGCAGCACTGTTTTTTCCTTTTGATTGTTCAACACTTCACGTACGAGATTTAAAATGGCATGTGCCAGTTCTAAGCTCTACAGATCGTATCTTTTTAAAACCTTTAAATGCCATGAGAGAAATCTTAAAACCAGTCTGACAAGAAAGAATAAAAATATTGACCTTAAGCAGCCAGTATATCTCAATGGGAGTTGCACAGGCTGCCTGCTATTGACTTCTTTCCTGCCAGTTGCTCAGTGACCACATTTAGCATGAGCCAATCATTTTCTCATAGGTTTTAGTGGTAGCAGACCCTGACAGAGTCAGTGCACTGGCCACAGTGGACAGCCAGAAAACTACTGCACAGGTTCAAAGCATGAATCACTAGGGCATGGTCACAGTGAATCTGATTTCTGACTGGCTGCAAACAGGAAAAAATAGAAATAGTTTTTCTCTCTTGGTATTTTGCACTTGTCTTAAGCACAAACTGATGACGGATGGTCAGAGTGTGGAACACAGTATTCCTGTCTGGTTTACACTGAGTAGAACACAATGTTCCAGCCAGCACAACACAACAAGCTGTGCTCAGCTGTGGTACAGTGACACACATACACACACTCACACTCTAATTAAGCACAGAGCTGCATAACTGAAATATACATCCTCATGAAAAACTGCTTGTCATAAAGCGGCAGCATCTAGTGTGTGTTTGTGTATCAGTCAGTATTAATGTGTTTGGATATGTGGGTGTAGTTTGTGAGTCAGCCTTGATAAGTCAGGAGTCAGTCTTAGGACATACTCAGGCTGCATGTGTTGGCATTATACTGACATCCATATGGAGCACAGTGCCCAATCCTGGCTGCTCTCTAGGCCCAATGCCACTCTATAGCTGCAGCATTCAGCCAAGAACTTATTGTGAATGACTCATTCTTCATTAGCAAATGAGATCCAGTCACAATGTGCACAACTGCCAGCAGGAGACATTCATATTTCTTTTGTACTGTATCAGAAGCCTTTCATCCACATCAAGATGGCAGGTAGTTCTGAGTTTTATCCACTTCATAGTGTTAACCACTCGGCAACTAAAACTAGTTCCACGACAGTGCACAGCCAAAAAGCTCCTT